CTGGCACAGGCCCGAGATGACACTGGTCAGCTGGGCTGGGGGTGGCTGTGGAAACAAGACCGAAGCAGCAAGCTGTCCCCGTGGCCAGAGCTGGGCTCAGCAGCAGGGTGGGGACACGCACACGCAGCTCCCCAGCCCTGTGAGGGCCGGGCTCCTTGAGCATTCCCGGGGAGAGAGTGTGATGTGCCGTGGATACAGGGGACCCCATTCTGGGGACGTCACCACGAAGCACCCTGTCCCTGGGACAAGCTCGCTAAACAAGGGAGCAAATACATTCATGGTTTAGCTCAGCCAGAGACCAGTGGTGCAGCGGAGAAGGAAGACAGGAGCCCACCTCGCAGGTGTCCGGGTGTGGGAAGCACACACAAGGGGCCTAGCGCTAAAACGTCCTTGCAGACACAGCAGAGAAACAAAGGAGGCAGGGAGTGGCCTGGCCTGGATCTGAGGACTCCAGGCCTGGCAGGGACCCGGTGGACACCAGGGGCTCCCGGTCAGGCCAGGAGACCTGCCGTTCATCTGCAATTCCCCCTCTGTCCACGTGGGGGCAGCTGGGGACCGGAAGCAGGTAGCCTCACACCTGGCGGGGGGCAGGCAGGTGAGCCAGGTGAGGTGGCTCTCCTAGTCTGCAGACAATACGAAGAAAAGGGGCCCCTCCCAGGCCAGCCCAAGGCCCTGCCCCAGGCATGTGACACCCCCTCCCCGCATCCTGCCCACCCAGCCCCCTTCCCATGCAAGATACGTCACTGGGGGAAGGGGAGGTGAGTGCGCCTGCTGGGCAGCAAGCCTGGGCGGGCCCCTGCCCCCACCTGTGTTTCTGGCTCCTGGGATGTCCTGGGTCGCTGGGCCACCCCGCCCAACAGCCGGCTTTCTCCTTGGCTCCACAATGTCTCCCCCAGTCCCACTGACGGAGCAAAGCGCAAGCCACTTGGGTTTGAACTGACTTTATTATTCTGTAAATGTGAATTTTACAAAGCGCTTTACAAGTAACGATCACATCCTTCTGTTTGCAAGGACTTCCACGTCCTGCTCGGGCTCCACTCGCTGCGCAAGCCCGGGGTTTCCTGGCCGGTGGACGTCTCCGCAGGCTGTGGCTAGTACGGCAGCAAAGGCGACAGTGTTGACTCTGCTGAGCGGCAGGGCCCAGAGGCCGGCAGGAGGGAGGACGCACCTGCGGGAAGGTGGGGGACGAGCTTGCTCGCTGTGGGGGGGCCGCGGACGGGGGCGGGGGTGGTTCTAGGAAAACAAACCTGCTCCACGGCACAAGGAACAGTGATTTCATTTATTTATTGTTTAACAGTCGTGAGTTACAGCAGGACTTAACCCCTCCCAGACTGGACAGGAACCGTGTCTTTGTAAAAAGGCTCTTTTTCCCAAACGCTCCGTCCGGAGGATGAACGGTCTGTTTGCACCCAGTGCCATCCAATGTTCAAGTCAAAAATATTTATACATTTTATACTTAGTTCTTTTTTTTTGTCTGCTAAAAATAGTATTGCAAGTTTTGGCTTCTTTTGACATAAAAATTACAATCATGTGCAAAACGCTAACAACGAAGGAGTTGATCGGAATTCAAGCAGGTTGTCCAATCCGAATGCTTTAGATTCTGCGTAATTTTCCTTTGCATGTTTTTTTTTTTCCAAAGAAACAAAACAAACAAACAAACAAAACCCAAAACCTTTTGGCGCGTTAGAAACGTCTTGTACCAAAGCCCTAGCGCTCTCCGGCAGGCGGCAGGTGACGCGCTCGGAGTGGCCTGGCTGACGGGAGGGCAAACTTACGCCCCAGCAACATTCTGAAACAGCAGCTCCAGACTCCCAGCTCTGTGTGCAGGATTCACTGCTGGCAAAGGCAAACAGAGGTTTTCTCACAGTTTTCAGGTGGTTAATGGGCCATCGGCCTTCCACTGGCATCAAGATACTTCCATAAAAGTAACTCGAGAGGGGGAGCTAAGCAGTAAGTGGCCGGGGATGGCACAGGGCTGGTACTAGAACCTTCCGCCCTTCAAGGGGAAGTCAGGGCCGGGCACCCCAGAGTCCCCGTCCTCCCCCAGCCCTCACCCCCTGCCCCCCTCCCAGCTCCAAACACAACCGCCCCAGAACCAGACGCCACAGACCAGACCGCAGCTGGGGGGCTCCCAAGACCGTCTCTCCCCGCGGCCACGCACCCGCAGCCACGGCCACAGTCGGGGGCAAGGCAAGACACGTGAATCCAACGCGAAGTCAAGCGACCACAGAGAACTCTGGGTGACAGCAGACACGGCACAGAACACAAGACAGAATTCAAGCACCGAGGCGCGCCGGCTGGACGGCCCCGCCAGCTCACGGTATCCCGTCCCATCTCCCCATCCCTGCTTCTGGACCTTTTGCACTCCGTCCCACTGCCTCCTGCGGCACAGCCTGTCCGCCAGGGAGGGTGGGCGAGGGTGGGGGCCGGGCCGGCCGCCCGCCACGTCCACCCCGACGGGGTCCAGTCCCTTCTCTCCTCCTCAGAAAGGCGCGAGTCTAACTCAGCTCTGTGTTAGTCTACGTAGTGTATGTGTATTGCTAATAGTCAAGCTGGGGGTCAGGTGCAGACGCGTCATAAATACTGAGTGGCTTGTCTCTCGCTCTACAGGGTCTGGGTGAGTCGGGATCACGCTCACAGGACAGGCATTAGTCGTCTTGTAAACAGAGGAGGGGGAGGGTCCGGTTTTAACTGGTTTTCCTTGGGAAAAATGATCAGAAGATGCTAAGGCACTCTGGTCGGCCCCTCCGAGTCCAGGCCCGCCGCCGCCCGCCCCACGGAACATTCTGGACGCGGAGGGAGCGCCCGGCAGATACAATCATCAGCCACGCCCGTCCGCAAACGCTCCCGACCCACGTCCGCCGCGGGACACATTAGTGCAAAACGCTCGGCCTGGCCCGCCTGGGGCTCAGGGGGAGCTCAGGACCCATTCACATTGAAGTACTGAAGTTTCACACATGACTCCTGCCTTCCCTACCCGGAACAACAAAACGGACGGCGGCTACACACGATTAAGGGACAGAGGTCGCGGGACATTGTGCTGGCCTGAACAGCGGTCAGGCCTTCTCTGTGCGGGCGCTGCCGCCGTCACCGGGCCACGGGCACCCCTTCGTGTCCCGGCCTCAGGTCGGGGGCCGCTCCCACTCTGGAGTGGGGGGGGCGGACAGGGAGAGCAAGCACGTGAGCCCTTCTGCTGACGGCCAGGACAGGCCAGCCGCTGTCTCCCCAGGGTCCTCAGGGATGGTCAAATTAAAGTGCACATCAGGGTCGGGAAGGGAAGCTACAGAGGGGGATGGGGGTCAAGCCTCCCCATCCTCCCCTCCACACCCCCAGTGGCCGCCTGAGGATGCTGAGGGCTAGGTCCTGAGTGGCCTTGGGGCCCCAGGCCCATACAGCTCCAACCCCAGCTGGGCCCAGGTCAGGGGAGAAAGAGGCGGAGACAGTGCGGCTCACCTCTGGGCCAGGGGGCTGGCTCGGATCCCCAGTAGGAGTGCGGCCCCTTCGGGCCCAGACCCCCCACCACTGCTGCTCTCGGGCACAGGGGCTGAGACGAGCTCCCACGGGCCTGCCCAAGGTGCTCCCACAGGCCTGCCCGAGGTGCCCCCACTCCCTCCTGGGAGCCCTCAGATCTTTCTGGAGGGCAGGCCCATGTGTGGGAAGCCTCTCCATGTAGGGCCGTGGTCAGAGGGCACCTGAGCACGTGGGTGCCGCAGCCCCGCAGGGCAGGCCCGCAGCTGGGGGAGGTTCAGGTTTGTGGGTCACAGGGAGGCTGAGCACAGGGGCTGCCGCCTGCTCTGCACCTGGTCAGGGGAGGCAGCGTGCCAGTGGGGGAGGGGGGGGCAACAGATCCCTTCATCTGGGAATGGAAGGGCGTCTGGTCTCACGGGCAGTTGGCAGGGGTGGGGGGTGGGGGGGCGCCTGGGACTCAGGAGGAAGCCTCCCGACCACTGGCCACGTGCGCACAACCCGTGCCCTCACTCACCAAAGACCGGCAACCGAGCTTGGAAGTGAGCCTTCCAGCCTCACCCACCCACGTCTGGTCTCAGGCCCCTCCTCACTGCGCTCCCCCCACCCCACGCTCTGGATCGTCAGCCCTGCTACTGCAGGGCTCCTCCCGCCCGCCCGGGGCCCAGGGTCTGCAGCAGGACTCGGGACCGCTCAGGCCCAGCCCAGCCACGAGGGGCCTCCACACCCTCCTCCGTCACACACCCCCACTGCATCTCCTGGGACCCGGGCCAGGGCAGGGCGGAGTGCGGGCCACAGGTGACCCAGACCCAGGCATAGAGGGTTGAGGGCAGGGACACCAAATCCTCCCTAATTTTTTGCTCTTATGGGTCTGAAAGTTTTCAAACCATACATGAACTAGATCTGAATTAAGACAAAAACAAACAAACAAACAAATGTAATCCCAACATGGCCGAGGGCGGCGGGGCTGCACCACAGGACGGCGGGCAGCCGGGCAGAGCCGACGGGCACTCGGGGCAGCGGCCGCGCCCATGGGGCCCAGGGGCACCAGAGGCTGTGGAGCTGAGGGGGCCGGGAGGGCCCCCGGGCGCAGGGCGGGAGGATGGAGATGCACGGAGCTCTCCCTCCCCCTGCTGTGCTCACACCGCTGCCCCCGCACACGCTCAAACACACACGCACTCACACATGCGCTCGCGCGCCCCATGCACGCGGCCGGCCCGGCAGGCCTGACCCTCGAGTCTCAGGAATAAGGGAAAAGGAGGAGTTTGGCCCCTGAGGGCCCAGCCCTGGCCCCTGGCCCCAAAGGGTGGGTGGGGTCCCCCGAGTGAGCAGCGAGGGTCGGGAGATGGGCCCCAGGCCACAGGACCCCCGATCTGGCTCCCAGGCACTGGGGACCGCAGGCTCTCGCCCCTCCCGGAGTGGGATCAGAGGCCCACGGCCTGGAGACGAACCTCGCAGGTATCAAAGGAGCCCTGGGACCTTCCTCGCAACTAGGTCACCAGCGGACTAACCCTTTACAGTATAACGAATGCATTTGTTTCCTTCATAAACTTTAAATACAAGCAGGATAAAAATCACATTTTTTTCAGGCAACAGTAGCAGTTCCGTAGTAAGTGGCTTGATCACATCTGTTTGTATTAGTAATGCATGCAAGCAGCTTTAGTACCGGCCGCGAGCCTCCCGGCGGCCCCTCTACAAGGTCCCTGGGTAGGACGCCTCCGGTCTCCGGGGCGCCGCGGGCGTCTGCGGCCGGCTGGAGCTCGCGCCCGCCTGCTCGAAGGGCTGCGGGGGGCTCGGGGCCGCGGCGGGCGGCGGCTCAGGCGCGGCCACCTCCTGGATGACCGAGCCAGCCCCGTCCGCCTCCTCGGCCGCGTCGAAGCCCGGGTGGGCGGCGGCGCTCAGGTCGACGTTCACGGCGTCAGTCCTCAGAGCCACGATGGTGGCCGCGTCCCCCCGCCGCTCCGCGTAGATGCGCTGCTCGAACACCTGCGCTGCGGTGGGCGGGAAGTCGGGGTCGAGGGGCACGCCAGCCGCCGAGGAGCCCATGACCGTGCGGTACATCTCCACCCCCTCGGGCAGCATTGACTTGATCTTGGGCAGCCAGCGCTTGCGGACGCGGCGGGCGTTGGTGCACATGTCCGCGGCGATGACGTTCATCTCGCTCTCCTTGAAGCTGGGGGCGAAGCTCTGACAGTACACTGCAGGGGTGGGGAGGGGCGGTGTCAGCAACCCGGGGAACGGGGCGCTCATGTGCTGCAGCCGTCCTCCTGGGCCAGCGGGGAAGGGGGCCTCCACCCTGCTGGCCGCTGGCCCCGGGGTCCATCCTGGCCTCAGCTGGCAGACCGGTGGTCACCCTTCTCACCACTCGATCCTGGAGGCCCTGCCCTGTTCCCTCAGGCCGGAACGTCCAGGGGAAGAGGGACAGTCGGCGTCAGAGCATGAGACCATGACGGGCCCTCCCTGAGCACCGGTTGGCTGTGTGCCCTTGGGCAGGTCCCTGGCATCTCTGGGCCTCACCTTCCTGCTCTGTCCCACCCACCCTGGGTCCCAGGGCCTGCTGAGACAAGCCGGCTCAGTCACCTTGCTCTGGACAGAAGGGCAACCGGGCAGGGCCCCAAGTCAGGTGGCCCTTGCACTTACCCACTGTGAGGCTCAGGCCTCTTGGGCCCTTACAGAGGCTCTTCCTCACAGGCTGGATGAGGAGTGTGGTGGGAGCCGGCCCACACCCGTCCTGCACCCAGCCCCCACCAGGAGGAAGCGGCGGCCAGGGCCATATCCGCACTCCAACCTTACTGAGAGTCCCCTGCCCCGGAAGCCCCAGGACCTAGCTCTGCAAGCAGCCTGGAGGCGGGACACAGGTCCCTGGGGCGAACCCCTCACGGCAGCATCGCCGCACACTGCCCGTTCCCGGAGCCCAGCCAGTCGCCAGCTTTGGGACTGTCACGACCGATCACAAAGGGCCCTCCCTGCTCTAGAACAAAATCGGTCTCACGAGACACATGTTCCAAGCAAGGAAGTGAGACAGTGTTTCGCGTGCTGACCGCCGCGGGAGGGCCCGCGGCTGGCCAGGGTGGCCCGAGCAGGGCGGTTGTGCTTCCCAGGGCTGGGGGGCTGGGCCGGGGGCAGCAGTCAGCCGCGGAGATGGACCGGGCTCCACGACACCCCACCCCCGCGCCCAGGAGCGGGAGGCAGAAGCCGGCGAGCAGATGGCAAAGGCTCAAAATAACCTCGAAATGTAAATAAGGGGTTTTGTTCAAAAAGGAAAATTAGATCTATTTCACATATTAAAATAGTTCCGCACGCAGCTGAATCCATCACGCTTGGAAACCCACCAAGAACGTTAACACCTCGAGACCTGGCTCCCACGAGCTGCTCTTTTTTCTTCCCCCTCCGCCCCCAAGCCCTACAGGGCCGGCACACCGCCCAGGAGAAGCCACCTCCCGCGGCCTCGGTCCCCAGCCCAGGGGACCGGCAGCCCCCCAGCCCCCCAGGGCACCCCGGGGCACTCACGTTTCACAGCATTCAGAACCCGGCTGTCCAGAGGCTTGCGGCTGGGGTCGCTCGTGGAGGAGCGGATGCCTGTGCCACAGCTGTTGGCCAGGGTGTTCCTGGTGGGGCGGGAAGGGAAGTGAGGCCGCCGGCCAGGGGGTCCTGCCCTCCGGGCCTCCCCCCTGCACTGCTACTGACTTCCGGGGGTGGGGGTGACCCTAACCCCACCACTCTCCAAGAGACGGGAGGGAAGCAAAGCCCCTTGGGGATGGGCTCCTCTGACCCACTCACGAAGCACGTGTGGCTCTTATTTTATGGGGAGGGGGTGTCCAGGGCAGCCAGGCCCCCTCCGATGGACGTGTCCCCTCGCACATCCCCGACCCACGGTGGGACATCAGCACGGCGGGGGGCCATGGACCCAAGACCACAGCGAGCGCATTGCCAAGAGGCCCGCGCGGCCTCCACACCCGTCCAGGGACCCACCTGTCGAAGAAGGTGGCCAGCAGGCGCCGCAGCAGGACCTTGTGCTTCACGCCCGCACACAGGTGGCAGTTCATGAGCTGACCGCGAGTGATGTAGACCCCGGAGCCTGTGACCGCCGGACAGGGAGGCCGTGACCCACGACCCGGGGCCATGAGCTTCCCAGGGCCATGGGGGCCAGAGCAGGCGAGCCCGGGCTGGGGGCTGCTGGGAAGCAGGGGGCAGCGCCGGGCCACCCCGACTTCAGCAGCAGCGCTCCCCCTGGGGCCTGGGACCCCACAGGCTGGGGACATCGCTCTAGGGGTCCCTCACTGTGCCGAGGCCCTGTCACCTGCAGGAGGTGCCCTCGGTCACATGCCCGAGCGCTGTCCCCAGGTCGCCCTTCCGGCCTCGAGGGCATCCCAGGCTCTGCCTCCTCGCCTCTCCATCCCTTCCCCAAAACCAAAGCCCCTCAGGCAGTGGGAGGAGGTGGAATCAGGGAGGTCAGCCGGCCCAGCACATGCAGGGGCGGGGGGGGGGGGGTGCAGCCCGCCATGGGCAGGGGTGCTCTCAGCGAGCTGACGCGCCGCTGTTCATCTGAAGGAGCCTGGCAAGCCCCGGACACCCAGGAGGGCCCGGCAGTGGCGAGGCCAAGGCCCGCCGAGAGCGTGGGGCGGCCTCAGTCAGCCCAGACTCTGCTTGTGGGGAAAGGAGCGGATGCACGTGTCGCTCAGTGTCCCCGACTCTGGAGAAGACGACACCAAGGGCACGTGCGTGGGGTCCTCAGGACGCCCACCGTCCCCGTCAGGCCTTCCCCGAGGACCCGCCATCACAGATCCCGCACTGAACCATGGGAGGGAAGTGGGTGGGGCAGGGTGGAAGGAAGGTACTTGGAGGTGCTCTAGCCCCGGGGGGGCCCTGGATGGAGACCACCATCAGAGCATTGGGTCTGTGCTGGGTCTGTGAAGGCCCCTGTCAGGACGTCTCTCGTCTGCAGAGGCTCAAGGCCGACAGCAGAGCAGGTCACCCGGGCCACACAGGCTGGGCACTCCCTTGTTGAAGGGACTCTGTAACAGGGGCTGGGGTACCGGGGGGTCTGCCCCACCAATGTCTAGCTATGGGTCGGGCCAGAGAAGGGGGCCAGCCCTCGTCCGTCCCAACCCCAAACGCTGACAGACGTGTGCCCCACCACTCTCTGCCCTGCTCTACTGCTGTCCCCTGGGACCATAGCTCCCAGCAGAGGGGACAGTCAGGCAGAGCCCCACAGTGCTGCCCTGGGTACGGCGATCAGGAGGAGCAAAAAGGACTGGGGGAACCCAGAGGCTCCCAGTGGGTGCACAACAGCACTGAGGAGGAGGGATGGTGCCCGTGGGTCCTGGCTGGCCCGTCTGGGGCTCCCCCGGTGACCACGGGAGGACACTCCCAGAAAACGGCTCCACCTCCCCCGGCACGGGTGACGGTTCCCCGAGAACAGCCTTAGATCTGCCAGGAGCGGCGAGGCCCCACGCGGCCCCACGCGGGGAGGAGGGCTCTTGCTGACAAAGGCACCCGGCCCCAACGGGTGCTGTCTGTTTTCATCGAACTCCGTTTCCAACTCTGAGCTGCATCCGGTGGGGACACTCTGGGGGCTGGGTGAGGGGACCAGCACGCAAACTCGATTTGGTTTTATCTGCTACCTAAATTAAAACACAATCGTGATTGCAGTCCCTGCCAATCAGACATGTGGCCGGCCCAGGGGATTCAATTAAAATGCTAAATTAATTCAATTGAATAACTCCTCTTAATGACACATTCTTCTAAAAGGAAATTAGAGGAAATTTAAGATGTTCTATCTTCTTTTTTTTGACTGATTGGTGATGAGTACATTGTTCACAGCTCTGAGGAGAAGGGAGGAGAGGGCATTTGCATACAACAGACAGGGCGGGGAGGGACCCTTCACCTGCCACCAGCTCCAGCTTCTCGCCGGGGTCCCCTTCCGAGTACAGCTTGGGGTGGCAGCGGTACCCGATCTGGCTGATGAGGCTGGCGGGTAGGGCCACGAGGTCACGGCGGATGAGGACGCAGGAGCGGCTCTCCAGGGGCACGGGCTCTGGCTTCTCTTGCACTGTGGACACAGACCCAATCTGGTTAGGGGAGCTCTCGGGCTGTGCCAGGACAGGGATGGAGATGGAGAACGCCCTTCCCTCCCGCCCAGGCCCAGGTCAGACCCACTCCATGCCCGCCCTCCGTTCTCTCTCCTGCCCACCTGGTCCTGACCCCAGCGGGCAGGACAAGAGGGAGTGAGCGAACGGAGGAAGGCAGGGGAGGGCTGCCCGCCCCCAGACCTGGAAACGAGCTGGGAGGGCCTAGGAGGCTCCCACGAGGTATCCCCCAGGCATAGGCCTGCAGATGAGGCAGGAACGAGTGGCCGGTGCGAGGGAGCCAGACCCGTGGTCTGACCAGGGAGAGCAGCCCCTCTGCAGGACAAAGTGCGGGCCGGAAGCAGCACTGGCCCCATGCGCAGCCCCGATGGGGCGGGGGACAGGGAAGCACGAGGGCAGCAGGCTGTGGGCATGGAGGTGGCTGCCGCCCGCCCCCGCCCCCAGGCCTGGTCTGGCCGTGGGAAACTGCTCTCCATCAGGCAGGCCCAGGGCAGGTGCACCCGGCCACCACTGAGGCTGGGCCAGCCTGTCCCCTCAGCTGTCCCCTCTGCACTGTGACCCACTCCCCCTTAGGGGTTACAGGAAGAATCAGCACCTGTGGGCACTGAGGGCGGGAGGGGCCAGGCTGGGCCAAGCACCTGGGGAAGCCGTATGGGGGCTGCCGCAAAGGGGCTTTGGGAGGGAGGATGGGAAGGAAGGGTCCTGGGCAGACCCTCCCACTCCCAGGCCTCCAGACCCTGGTGCAGCCTCAAGCTCCCAGAGGGGAGTGGTGAGGACCACTCAGCCGCTGGGGGCTGGCATCCTAGACACTGTGGGTGGGCCTCTGCGGAGAGGGCAGGCGGCTGAGACCAGAGCTGAGGGGGGCCTGCAGCTCCAGCCCATCCAGCCCGGACCTGGACATGGGTCAGAGGGTGCTGGGCCGCTCTGGGGGCTGGGCGCACCTCCCAGCAGGTGTGTGCGGGGCACCGGGTGGGACGGAAGACTCTTCCAAACCCGGAGTGCCCGTGGGCCCAGGGAGCACAGGGAAAACAACCCGGATATTTTAAAACATAATTACCCGCCCCCGTCCCCCCACGGCCTGCTGTGACTACACACGCAGACGCAGCACAGCGCGGCCGGCCCGCGGCGTTTACATGCAGAACGCTCACCAGCAGAAACCCCGCCATCCACCGTGCGTCCTGCCGTGTCTCTCTGAACAGCAGAAGTTGTCTGCACCCGGCACGCCTGCCCCCCAGCCCCCAGCCCCCAGCCCGGCTCCTGAGAGCAGAGAGCGGCATATCCAGAACATCCAAAAGAGCCTCTTCTATTTCTGCTCTGCCGAGCGCCGGATACCGCGCCGGCTAAAAATACCGAACCCGAGCAGTGGCTCATCTGGAGAGGTGCTCTGGAGTCCTTCCCTGCCCCTTCCCCGGGCCCCAGATCTCCCGCCACAGCAGCCCACAGCTGAGCGGAGCGGAAAGGGCGGCATGTGACCAGGTTCTGGCGGACCTGGGGGAAAGTGCAGGAGTGGGGGGGACGGGGGCGCAGGGACATGGGGGGGTACAGGGGCACAGGGGCATGGAGGCGGGGGCCGTGGGGGCACAGGGGAGCAGGGGGGCCCCTAGGGCATCCCTGTGGCCTTCAGGTGGGCATTCCGGCAGGCGTGCTGGGAGGCCCCCTCGGTGGGCTGTGGGCAGGGACACAGCAGCCCACGGGCTGCCCTGCAGATCACATTGAGGCACCCCACCCCCTTCCCCATCAATGGCCCTGTTTTTACCCGGCTTCAGGACTGAGGGCTCCAAATATTTTGGCCCCATAGAATGTGGAGAGGCACATGAAAGAGCGATTCGCTATTTGTATGGAGAGGAAGTAATCGCTCAGTGCGGGAACTGAGTCACCGTCGACAGGGCCTGCACAGAAGGATCTGGAGCAGCAGCCGGTCTGGGCCAAAGGGGACAGCGACCAAGGACAGGCAAACAGTGCCCCTCAGACCACTGGACAGAGAGAGCTGTGACCAGACACAAGGATGGACCCTGCGGGGGACTCTGGGCACCGAGAAGGGCCCCAAGTGCTCCCAGACTCGGGGACGCTGCAGAGTCCAGCCGAGGAAGGACGGGGCCTCAAGGACATTGCGCTGAAGGAGATGAGTCCAGCAGAGGACAGATCCTGCCAGACTCTGCCGCTGTGTGGGCCCGAGAGGGCTCAGGCCCGTGGGGACGGACCACAGGAGGGGAGATCCGTGTGTAATGGGGCGGAGTTCAGGTCAGGAAGATGGAGAGTCCTGGAGACGGATGAGGGGACGGCAGCAAAGCAGCGTGAGCGCACCCGCGGGCCTTGGACGGCGCACCGGACACCAGCGGGACAGGAAACCCCAGTGTGCACATCCTGGTGCATGTCCTGGTGCATGTCTCTTGAGAGACGAACAGTGACTGTGGAGACGTGGCCCTCACCCCCCAGTTCACACGGTGACGTCCGTCAGCTCAATCTCAGTACAACTGGGGCGGTGGGGGGGGGCGACAGAGGGCAGAGTGGGCGAGGCAGGCCTGGAGGGACCCTGGCAGGCTCCCCAGCTTCCTCTCCGGCACTTCCTCCCCCTCCCGTGGCTCCCTGACCGGGAATCTAGAAAATGTGCTGGGCCCTCTCCCCAAGCAAAGCACACAGATCCCCCAGCCTGCGGGACACCGGTGTGTCACGGGGCCCCAGGGGCCAACTTTGTTCCTGTCCCCAGGTGCACCTCAGGGATGGCATGGGGAGCCCCCACCAGGGCCAGTGGTCGCCTGCAGAGGATGGAGTACCACTGAGGCTGGGCGGGCAGGTGGGGGGACAGGGAAGGGGACTGCCACCCTATGAGAGTATATGCTGTTTGTTAAAATGGCAGAGGAAGGAAAGGGACCCCTGGTCCGTGATTATATGGGAAAATACAACTTACAACCAAATGGAAAGAAAAACGGTAAATCACACTGTCCACCTCTCCCGACTGTGGTGACTGTGACCAAGCCTGTGAGGTTCATGAGGGCAAGTGAGGGACCCCCCCGTCCACAGGCCTGAGTCAGACCCGCAAAAACACACTCGGCTCACTTGTGACCAAGGGTCACTCACCACAGCAGGGGAAGGGACAGCTGCTCCGACACGGGGTGCCTGGAACGGGTTGTATGTGGGCAAATCGCAAAAGGAAACCACAGAACTACCCTCGATCTAAACCTTACACCTTACCCGAAAAAGAGTAAAAACGGGTCATGGACCTAATGTATGATACAAAAGCGTAAACCTTTTGGAAGAAAATCTCTGTGATCTTGAGTTCAGCTAAAAGCTCAGACACAACCCACAGAAGAATCGATGGGTTAAAACCGACCAGATGAGGACGAAAACCTCCCGTGTGGGAACGAGGTACAGACAAGGCCGCCCCCAGGCCAGAAGGAGCGGTCCGCGGACCACACGCGACCCAGGGCTTGCCCCGAAAATCCAGCACAAACTCTCAAAACTCAACAGCAAGAAGACGGATGGTTTGGTTTTTAAAATGGGCAAAAGATCTGAACAGACACTCGGCCAGAGATGGTCCAGGTGGCCGATTAGCCCATGAAAAGATGCTCCACGTCATCAGCTGTTGGAAAGCGGCACATACACTGCACGGAGAGACCCCACTCCACGCGTACGGAGCAGAGCAGCTCACGAACCCCGGGCATGCCGGGCGGCGCGGGGGTGCGGAGCAGCTGGGCACGGGGCCCCAGCCGGCGGGCGTGCACGCGGGGACACAGGTACACAGCTTCCCGGGAGCCGGCGGTCCCACCCGAGGCACTTGCCTGGGAGAAACGAGACACGGACATAGTCCGCACAGGCCCCCAGCTCACCCTGCTCTGCTCACCAGCACGCCAGGCCGGAGATAGCCCAGGCCCCGTGGCAGCAGGCGGACACGGCCGAGCGCCCGCAGAGCAGGTCACCGCCATGCGGACGTCAGGAAGACCGCGGCACTGCACAGGGGAGCCTCAAACTCGCCGGTGGGACGGAAGGGGCCGGTCTCCCACGGTCACAAACCTGGTGTGTGGGACAGGGTCCCAAACGCAGGACTCTGGGGAGAGAGAACTAGCCGGTGACTGCAGGGGACAGCGCGGGGCCGGGGCCCGACGGCAGCCGCGTGGAGGCCAACGGAGCTGCTCTGCAGGGTGAACACACGCCGCACCGCCCCGCGCCCGCCCTGCCCTGTCCCTGCTCAGCCCCAGGTGGCCTCCCCGCTCTGCACCAACCAGACCCACAGCTCTGAAAGGGGCACCCCAAGACCGGCAGCAGCGCCCCAGGACACGACCATGTCAACACCCTGGGAACAGGGCTGGCGGCGGTTCCCCAAGGTGCACCTGGGCCTGAGGGGCTGGTGGTCATCACGGATGGTGCTCCTCCGCGTGGAGAAGCCACGGCCCCCACCGACGGTAAGATCACCCCCTCTTGTGGATGCTCAAGGGCAAGGACACAGGGCATCTCAGAACCAGCAGACACAACACGCTGGGCACAAATAAGTCCGGCTGGGAAGGCCCAGAAGAAATAAACACAAGTGGGAACAGAGGTGAGGCCGGGAGTGGGGACGACGTGTGTGCAGACACCGCTGCCCAGGGCCCCCGGGAGCACAGACAGAGAGGGACGTGGCAGGCCTCTGGGTCCCCATGCTCGGGAAGGCATAGACACAGATAGCCACAGGGGAGGACGCAGCACTGAGATGGCTCCGTCTGGACAGCACCGGGTGTAGCCCCAAGCCATGTCCTCCTGCCGCAGCCCCCGCCCCTCTGGTTCCAGCTCAAATACCCAAAATGTCCTCTGGGCAGCCCCGTTCGACTCAAACCTGCCGCAGCCACTGCCTGGGCCTAGACTCCACAAGTTCTGCTAGTCTTGTGGCCAGCACCCGGGTCTGGCCCTGGGAGACCCCATGAAGCCCCCGAATGGAGTCCCAGCAAAGCCAGGGGGCCTCTGTCACTGCCCATCTGACCAAACTCCTCCT